ATTCTTGAATCCCAGCTATGCCCCACTGGAGAAGTGAAACTTAATCAAATTACATAACTTGTAAGCTGACCAGAGTCTGTGGTTCTGTAGCCTTATAGAAGAGATGGGCAGCATAAAAATTTAATTAAATAAAGGAACAAACAGACAACAAAGCCATTTCCCTTAATGGTTGGGAAATTCTGGGAACTGAAGTCCACACGGCTTAAAATTGCTAAGGTTGAGAAATCCTGATCTACAGAGATGATAAGCAGGCGAAGGGATCAATTTACAAAAACACATTCAAAATGCGGGATGGACAGCAGAGGCAAAAGATTTTAGAAGTGGCAGAAGAAGAGTACAAAGTGGTTTCCCCCCCCCCTACCAACCCCCAAACTTTAAGTTCCTCAATTCAGTTGAACTGATGCAAAAACCTCAATGAGTAATGCCACTGAAGTGCATTGGCGGGACAGCTGCCCTCCACCAAAAAGCCACTGAAAAAAGGAATACAAAATTAAAAACCTAGTAATCTTATTTATATAGAAGGGCCACTTCCTCTGCCATTTAAACTTTTTGGAAGAGGCTGTGTTGGCCTTTGGCCGCAGGACCCCAAAAGAGCAGCAAAATTGAAGGGGAAAGGGAAGACTCACAAAAAAGAGCCAGTTTAAAGGGTTGGGGGAGAGATCACCCTTCTCGCCCACCAGAGTGACAGAGTGGAAGGGAGCCTCGAGGTCATTGAGGCTAACCTCCTATCAATAGCATAGTTGAGAGATGGCTGCCCCATCTCATCTTAAACTGGGTTTAGTGCCACTCAAGGCAGTCTGTTCCACTGCCAAACAGCTCTTAATTCAATAGCTACATGATGCATCTCAGGTCATTGGTTGTTGCTTATTCACATGAATAATAATAAAAAAATTACACTCTAATCAATTCACATGGCTTCTCTGGATGAGTTCCCCCTATAAGAAGAGAGGAACAATCTATCATAATTAGCAGTTACTCTTTCTGTCTTACTACAGGTAGTCCTCAATTTACAACATTCATTTACTGACCGTTCGAAGTTGCAACGGCACTGAAAAAAGTGACTTACGACCATTTTTCATACTTATGACATTTGCAGCTTCCCCGTGGTCATGCGATTTACATGCAGATGCTTGACAATTGGTTCATATTTATGACGGTTGCAGTGTCCCGGGGTCATGTGATCACCTTTTACGACCTTCTGACAAGCAAAGTCAATGGGGAAACCAGATTCACTTAACAACTGTGCCACTAATTTAACAACTGCAGTGATTCACTTAACAAATGTGGCAAGAACAGTCATAAAATGGAGCAAAACTCGCTTAACAAATTTCTCACTTACCAACATGGGCTCAGTTGTGGTCGTAAATCCAGGACTACCTGTACTAGATTGACTCACTCCATCTGGGGTTGGAGGAAGATTTGAAAACTTCCAGCACGTGTACAATCATTTAGGCACCATTACATGTGAAATATGTGCAGATCAAGATCCTTAGACCTGGATTCTTTGGCTGCATTCACATGACCTGTAGTCGTTATCTAACCACTACAGGTAATTATCAACTTATAACCATTCGTTTAATGACCAGAGTTATGACAGAGTTGGAAAAGTGATTTATGACCAGTCCTTGCACTTATGAACATCACAGACCCCATGGTCATGTGAGCAAAATTTGACACCAACCTTATATTTCTGATGGTTACTGCATTTCAGGGTAACATGATTACCACCTGTGACCTTACTATGGGGCTTCCAACAAGCAAAATTAATGGGGGGAAGAAGCTATTTAACGACGTGATTTGGGGATTTATGGATTTTCCCTTTATCCCTAGGAAACGGTGCTAGAACAAAGAAGTGAGGAAACTATTTTAATAGCTGAGTTTTTAAACAAGGTGAAGTAGATACTGGTCATCAGAAAAATAGAAAAATTTTGGGCTCTCCCCTTCCAGCACACCCAAATCACATCTTGTTATTTAAAAGACAAAACTAAGACTTTGTATAATCAGACTTCTGTCTTCTTAATAGTTCTTTGAAATGATCACATTTTCAAGATGAGTTCCAGCTACAGGAAATTCTTTGTGTATTTCTAAGTGGAACTCAGCCAAGCTTTTCAGAGAAAATCTTATTCCCTCCATCATGTTAAAAATGACACTCCAACAGGATGTTGCTTTGGACAGATTCTATTCTGCTGTTCCAGAATACAGAGAATTTAGCCTGCAATCTTAAATAGCCAAAATGTGGTGAATTTCCTGATTGCCCTAACTCACCGTCAGGATTCACTACCTGAAAAATAGGGTTACTAGTGAGTACTTAAGAGGGCAAAGGCAGTATGAGGTAATATGAAAGGTTAGGATAGATAATAAGTCACTTAGTAGCAATAAATATTTATCATCTTTAGAACACAAAACAACTATCTGCTGAAGCTCACAAGGTTATTTTGAATTGTGTGTACCCAAGATAGGATAAGTGCCAAAACTCCAAACTTGGCACTTATGAAGAACATTAAATAGCATTGAGCTAAATATAAGCAACCATATAAAGAGCCCCATAATATACTGCTCAAAAAAATAAAGGGAACACAAGCAGAAAACATCCGAGATCTGAATGAATGAAATAGCCTTATTAAATACTTTGTTCTTTACATACAGTAGTTTATACACTGCTCAAACAACTAAAGGGAACACAAAACTACTGTATGTAATGAACCAAGTATTTAATAAGGCTATTTCATTCATTCAGATCTCGGGTGTCTTCTGCTTGTGTTCCCTTTATTTTTTTGAGCAGTGTATATACTCACTGACTTAATACACCAGACAAGACTATGCTAAAATGGAGTTGGATAGTTGGCAGATCAACATACAACAGGAACCCAAACACTGTTTTAAGAGTTTGTGGGAACTTTGTACCCTGTTTCCCTGAAAATAAGACATCCCCTGATAATAAGCCCAAGCGGGCTTTTGAGTACATGCGCTAAAATAAGCCTCCCCCTGAAAATAAGCCCTCCCTGAAAATATTTAAACGCAGAGCTGGAAATCAGGTAAGATGGCAAGAGGAGTCCCATCTTGCTCCACGTACCCCAAAATAATAAGACCTCCCCGAAAATAAGGCCAAGCGCTTATTTAGGGGTTCAAAAAAAATATAAGACAGGGTCTTATTTTCAGGGAAACACGGTATTAAACCAGATGTATTATTCTGGGTTACAAAACTCAAAAAACAATTAGCTGTTGTCTAGATTTACGCAGCCCTGCTCTGGCAGCCTATGTCAATACACCGAGTATACCGACGGTTACAAGAAAGCAAAACATATTTGTTAACCTCGTTTCAGTTTGTTGTGTGAAACCCAGCAACTGTGAATGAAGGCAGGAGAATCCATTCAGACTTCCTGGACTTTCAAGAGATATTGAAACTCCAGCAACTCTCTTTCCCAATACAGCTCCACCCCAGTGTCAAGGAAATCTGGAAACGTATTAAGCAACAACATTCACAAGCCTGCTGTCCTCCAGATTTGTTAAAACTATAACTCTCATCATCCTCCACCATTTTGGCTGTCTGACAAGAATGCAGAGCTACCAGGCTGGGATTTTGAGATGACCAGATGTATAACCCATCACGTTTGAGAAGGTGGAGAAGGGGGACAGGATAATGCTTTGATGTGGTGTTTCTTGACCTCGCCCCACTTATAAAAATCATGGAAAACCCCTAAAAAGGTTTTACTTATCTGCGTTATATTTATTGATATTTACCATATCATATCAATTTACCAATGCACTACTATTAATCTTCTCATCGTTCCCACCACCCATCTCCTTCCACTTATGACTGTATGACTGTAATTTTCTTGCTTGTATCCTTACAATTTATACTGATATTGTTTCCTGATTGCTTATTTGTACCCTATGACTATCATTAAGTGTTGTACCTTATGATTCGTGACGAACGTATCTTTTCTTTTATGTACACTGAGAGCATATGCACCAAGAAAAATTCCTTGTGTGTCCAATCACACTTGGCCAATAAAAAGTTGTATTCTATTCTATTCATATTGAAAATTAAAGCTGCCGCCACTCAGGATAGTTTGACGGGAATTGTTTAATAGGCTGGCAAATAATTTTGATTTTGTGGACCCCTGAAAGATCTGCAGGACCACATTTTCATAAGTTCTAAAAGAGTGGCAAGACCCTTAGCATCATCCAAGTAAAAAAAGTTTGTACTATTTCACTCAGGAGTCAAAATCCTTTTGCCAATGCTGTTAGCTAGGACAGGGATCGTGAAAAGAAAAGGGGAAAAAAAAAAGCAACAGAAAATTTTATTCTTTAAAACAGTGTTTCCCAGCCTTAGTAACTTCTAAGATGGGTGGACATCAAACCCCAGAATTCCCCCAAAAGTAGTTGGGGGGAATTCTGGGCGTTGAAGTCCACCCATCTTAAAAGTTCCCAAAGGTTAAAAACACTGTTTTAGAAAGATCGCCTGAAGGTCAGGAAAGTAACACACCGCCCCGTTTTCAAACCGCCTCCACCTCACGGATATCCACAGCTATTTAATCGCAGAAACCGGCTTGTGAAACTTTCCACACCACGGAGGTAAAACCGGATCAACCGATCCGGAGTAGGAAAGGTTGTGAGGTCGGGCGCGTTGCCCATCTCATAAAAGAAAAGCGCACGAGGGGGCGGCGATCAAGGTGATCCTTGGCGGAAAGCATTTCTTTTTTTCTTTTGTTGCCCTTCATCCTAAAGTGGCCGTTTGGAGCCACTGTTCTTTCCTACTACGCCTTTACTCAGATCGCTCTTCTAACTATGCCTTTACTACTTCCCGCGGGCAAGGAGGGCTGATTGGGGCAGAAGACAGCGGAAATCCAGCTGCACGATTGCAACACCGGATTAAAGAGAGCCGGCGATCGTACTTTTTGCTGGTGGGGGAAAAAAAATGCAATACAAGCGAAAGCGAGCAAGCAAGGAAAAGGAAGGGATAGCGGACGCCGGCAGATCCACACGTGCATCCATACCTGCCTCGGTCTTGAGGAACCTTCCCAACGCGGGAGAAAAAGCCTCGCTCTCGTCTCCGCAGCCCGAAAAGGCGTCCGTCCGCCTTGCAGGCAAGATTTGAACCCAAGCGCCACCCCTTCCGCCTCTCCTTCCCTTCAACCCGGCTTCCTTCCCTTCAACGGATGAGACCCGTATCTTTTGCTTGTAAGGATGGCATGTGGGGTGGGGAATTCCCTTCCCGGAAATCCTTGGCTGGAAAAAAAATCAAGCGGTGGTTTTTATTTTATTTTATTTTATTTTATTTTATTTTATTTTATTATTTTATTTTATTTTATTGCCCTGCGGGGCCTCTCCACGTGGACAGAGGAGATAACTGGGGGAAAGGTTTATTTTTATTTTGCTAGATTTCTGTTCTGCCTTTTTTTTTCCTTTTTTTTTTTTTGGTGGCTCACTCTTCCTGATGGCTCTTTCTGTTGTTGTTTTTTTCCCGCCCTAACCGCAGCAGCGAAGGAATAAAATAAAGGATAATATTGTAGGAAGTTAGCACCCACTCCTCTCCTAGGAAAATGAGATATTTTAGGAAATATTAAAAGGGTGGAATATTTCCCCTAAAAGAGAGGCAGAAACTCAGCCCTCCCCCCCAATGGTCAATGGGCCATTAAGGCCTGGGCCAGTCTATTCAACATAACAAAAGATCTACCTCCTTCAGGCAGAGCCGTAATAGGAATTTTTTATTTATTTATTTATATGCCGCCCTTCTCCGGAGACTCAGGGCAGCTTACAATGTGTTAAGCAATAGCCTTCATACTTTTGTATATTTTATACAAAGTCAGCTTATTGCCCCCACAACTGGGTCCTCAATTTACCTACCTTAGAAAGGATGGAAGGCTGAGTCAACCTTGAGCCTTGGCGAGATTCGAACCTGCAGTAATTGCAGGCATCTGGTCTTAATAACCAGCTTAATAACAGGGTGCCGTAGACCACTGTACTACCAAGGCTCTTAATTTTGCCCAAAGCCCTTTCATCAAGAGTCTTGGTGGTGCAGCAGACTAAAAGCGCTGTTAAGTAACACCAACTGCCTGCAATTACTGCAAGGTCAAATCTCACCAGGCTCAAGGTTGACTCAGCCTTCCATCCTTTCGAGGTAGGTAAAATGAGGACCCGGATTGTGGGGGCAATAAATTGACTTTGTATAAAAAAGAACAACGCTTAGGGGGGACCGAAAGCCCTACTAAGCAGGTATATACAAAAGTATGAAGGCTATTGCTTAACGCATTGTAAGCTGCCCTGAGTCTCCGGAGAAGAGCGGCATATAAATCGAACCAGTAGGTAAGTAAGTAAGTAAGTAAATGAATAATATCATCACCCAGCAAGAGTCAACCAAGCCTGGGACTCAAAAAACAACCTACAAAGTTACTCCTGTCTGACAACCAATCAGAACACAAGCTCAAATTCAAAGCCCAACAGGGCATAAAACTCAGGCATTCTCGATTGCAGAAAATATGACTTCAGTAACAAGAGTTGTTAATGCCTGGAATGCACTACCAGACTCTGTGGTCTCATCCCAAAACCCCCAAAACTTTAACCTTAAGACTGTCTACTGTTAACCTCACCCCATTCCTAAGAGGTCTGTAAGGGGCCTGCATAAGAGCACCAACATGCCAGCATACCTGTCCTAATGTTCCCTTTAATTGTATTCATTTTATGTATTCAATTCATGCATATACATATATTATGCATATACATATACATATATTATACATTGTGAATGAGATTTCACACAACCAGAGCTGCAAAACAATTTAGTTTACGTAGGTAAAACCTGGCTAGAAAGAATATGCACATAAAAGCCTACGAAAAAGAAAAAGACACATTGTACCTTTACAGGGGGAATATCTGAGAAGTGGGTGTGGCTCACTGACGAAGCCTTATAAGGCAGAAATAGCTATCTGAGTCTCCCAGAGAGCAACACAGAGTTGCAGTTTGTCAACAGAAAAAAAGCCCTGAAGCTTGTGAATGAGATTTCACACAACCAGAGCTGCAAAACAACTTAGTTTACGTAGGTAAAACCTGGCTAAAAAGAATATGCACATAAAAGCCTATGAAAAAGAAAAAGACATTATATATATATATATATATAATGCATATACATATACATATATTATGCATTTACATATACATATACATATATTATGCATAATATATATGCATATATTATCTAATATGTACTCGATAAAATAAAATAAATAAATTTCTGCCTTTTTTGCCCAGGATCTCAAGCCATGTGATCCTGTTCATCAATAAACATTCTTTCCAAGCAACTTCCATGAATCCAGTGTCTTTTTCCCCACTTGGAACTGAACCCAGATGGACATTTCTTCCAACGATATCATGGTTAAAAACACTTAAGTTGCCGCTTAAATTCATCCACACTTACATTATATTTGTTATTGGGGAGCCCAATTTTCAAAGATAGCCAAAGGATATATTAAAAAGCTTGGGCATTTTTCTAGCAATTCCCCACTACAGAATCTACAGAAAACAAAACATCTAAAGATAGAAGATAAAAATTATGGTTTCATTCCATGTCACCTTCGCATTCATATTCATTCTTTTAATTTGTATTATTGTACTCTCCTTTATTGTTTCATTGTTTTGCTATTGTTACGTAAACATTTTTATAATTTTTTCCGCTTTACTGTTGTAAGCCACGACGAGATAGGCAGCAAATACATTCATCAAATAAATAAATTTAACAAATTCATAGACCTAGAATTAGTGCAAGCATCCAAGACGGCAGTTTAAGATAGACCTCAACTTACGACTGGTCATTTAGCAACTGTTCAAAGTTATTATGAGCCCCCCCAAAAGCTACTTATCTGATTTTGAAGTTATGATGTTCTTCCTCCCCCTGAAGTCACGTGATCATATTTTGGCTTCTCAGCAACCAACGTTCATTTATGACTAAATACATAGCCACATGGCCTGGGACACGCAGGCTTGGGGCCATTGATCTCACCATTGCAATCTTGTGAGATTCAGCCATGAGCGGTGTGTATGGGTTTTTAACGTCTCTTATTGTATATTGTTTATACTGTCTTGGTTGTAAGCCTCCCAGAGTCCTCGGAGAGTTGGGTGACATAGAAATACGAATAATAAATAAATAAATAAATTACAATTTACTAAGGTTTTGCTGGAAAATGGCATTTACTTCCTGTTTCGGGCAAAACCCAGTCTATAGCAAACAATGGATTTGCTTAACGACTACTGTGTTTCCTCAAAATCACTGGAAACGTTGTAAAATTGAGTCCGGTCATATGGTGACCCACTTTATGACCATCATGACTTATGATCATAATTACCAAGCTCAATTACGATCATAACTCAAGGACTACTTGTATAACCATAACACACAATTAACCAATGGAACAGGTTGCCTTCAGAAATCGTGGGAGCTCCATCGCTGGAGGCTTTTAAGAAGAGACTGGACAGTCACTTGTCTGGAATGGTATAGGGCTGTGATGGCGAACCTATGACACGCGTGCCACAGGTGGCACTCAGAGCTCTCTCTGTAGGCACACGCGCTGTCGTCAGCTGCTCTTCTGGTTTCCGGTATGCACATGCGTGCCGGCCAGCTGGTCGTCGTGAGTACCAGAGTGCTGGAAATCGGCCTGAAAACAGCCTGAAAAACAGCCAAAAAACACGCAGGGCCATTTTTGGGCCTCATTTGGGCCTTTTTGGGCTGTTTTCAGGCTGTTTTCCGGGCCATTTCTGGGTCTTTTTCAGGCTGTTTTTTGGGCCATTTTTAGGTCGTTTTCAGGCCGTTTTTTGGTCCATTTTCTGGACTGTTTTAGGGCTATTTTTCAGCCCGAAAAACAGCCTGAAAACAGCTCAAAAATGCCCGGAAAACAGCCTGAAAAACATTCTGAAAACAGCCCCCATAACATCCTGAAAATTGCCCCCTAAACGGTCAAAAAACAGGCATGCACACGCCAGCCAGCTGGTCTTTGGGTTTCCAGCGCTCCGGCGTGCGCACGTGCAAATACATGCACGTGCATTCCAGTTTGGGCACTCGGTGCCAAAAAGGTTTACTATCACTGGTATAGGGCCGTGATGGCGAACCTATGGCACACGTGCCATAGGTGGCACACGGAGCCATATCTGTAGGGACGTGAGCGTTGCCCTAGCTCAGCTCCAGCACGCATGCGCACACCAGCCAGCTGATTTTCAGGCCTTCTGGGCCACCGGAAGTCGGAAAAAGGGCCATTTCCAGCCTCCAGGAAAGCCTCTGGAGCCTGGGGAGGGCGAAAAACGGACCTACCGGGCGCATGTGTGTCTGTGGGGGGGCCTGGGGGGCAATGAATTATGGGTGTGGGCACTCGCGACACCCTCCCTCACACTTCCCCCACTTTTGGCACATGACAGCAAAAAGGTTAGCCATCACTGGTATAGGGTCTCGTGCTTGAGCACCCTGCTGGACTAAAACACCTCCAAGATCCCTTCCAGCTCTATTCTATTCTAACACCTGAACTAGTCAAATACAATCAGATCAAAATATCTAGAATCATGGACCACTTCAACTGCTGCCTCACTACTTATATTCTCTTAGATGGACTTCTATACCAACCAATCAGAAACATCCATAAGATGACTTATTCTCACGTAATGCAGTGTCTAGAAACTATAACGCTCCCATGCATATAATCAGAAAGCCCCTTTCTGGATCGGGACTCCCTACGCACGGTCACTCAAGCACTCGTCACTTCCCGCCTGGACTACTGAATGCTCTCTAAATGCGGCTCCCCTTGGGGTGCACCCGGAGGCTACAGTTAGTCCAGAATGCGGCCACGCGGGGGATTATGGGAGTGACGGGGCGCTCACATATGACACCTCTCCTGCGCGAGCTGCACTGGCTTCCTGTGGTCTTCCGGGTGCGCTTCAAGGTGTTGGTGACCACCTTTAAAGCGCTCCATGGCTTAGGGCCGGGGTATCTGCGAGACCGCCTTCTGCCGCCAATAGCCTCCCACCAACCGGTTCGCTTGCACAGAGAGGGCTTCCTCAGGGTACCGTCGGCCAGACAGTGCCGGCTGGCGACTCCCAGGAGGAGAGCCTTCTCTGTGGCAGCACCTGCCCTCTG